TATATATATATTCTCTCCAGGATGCATTTCTTTAGCATTATTGCAAAGTCTAAATGCAGGTGTTTTTATGGTAATTGAATCTTGATCATCACTTAATTTCCTTTTTTTCTGCTCCCCCATCTCAACAGCTTGAAGATTTATAGAATGACATGCATAAAATGAAGAAAATAGTAAACAGCTTTAATTTTAAAATAGATCTAATTACTGTAATGTTTTCTATAAATAGTTTTTATCTAATGAGATGGAGCCGGGATAGCCTGGTTGGTAGGGCGTCTTGCTCGTGTTTGTAAGAACGGAAGTTCGAATCCTGCCGGCTGAAGAAAGATAAACATTGCCCCCGTGTATTAAATGGTGGCTGGTGCATGTTAAGTCTTCAAGTCCCCATAACAAATGAGTACCTCTGTGGGTACTGTATTGAAGATTGATCTGTGGATGAATGAATGAGTCCGCCCTGTAAAAAATGCTATTAAGTGTGTGTGTGGCTAAAATAGTATTCTTGTCCATAGAATGCGCCACTGAAAAACAAGAAACGGACCTTAGGCCTTAAATTCGCTTGGTTTCCCAAAGCAGGCCTGCTGGTATTTGCCAAGTGGCATTATAAACAACAAAATAATAAGATGGATGCAGTTATTTTATGGAAGCAATTGGTCTCCATCTGGGAAAGTTATTTTCTGAGGTTCGTTTCTAACGATCCTTTTCTTAGATTTTATAAATAAAAGTACCTAAAAACTTGTGTTTATAAATATGTTGTGTCGAACAGAATCCAACATCGGAGTACTTTATTTATTATTAACATAAAATTGTTTCGTTGATTCCGATATTATCTGATGTTGATGCGTAGCGGAGACCAGCTAGATCCTCTTGTATGACAAGGAAATCACTGAAAATTTCTGAACCGACGCATTCTTGGATTCCGATATTAGCTGATGCGTAGCGCAGACCAGCTAGATCCTCTTGTAGGACAAGGAAATCACTGAAAGATTTTGAACCTACGCATTCTTCGATTCCGATATTAGCTGATGCGTTGTGGAGACCAGCTAGATCCTCTTGTAGGACAAGGAAATCACTTAAAGATTCTGAACCGACGCATTCTTCGATTCCGATATTAGCTGATGCGTTGCGGAGACCAGCTAGATCCTCTTGTAGGACAAGGAAATCACTGAAAGATTCTGAACCTACGCATTCTTCGATTCCGATATAGCTGATGCGTAGCGGAGACCAGCTAGATCCTCTTGTAGGACAAGGAAATCACTGAAAGATTCTGAACCAACGCATTCTTCGATTCCGATATTAGCTGATGCGTTGCGGAGACCAGCTAGATCCTCTTGTAGGACAAGAAAATCACTGAAAGATTCTGAACCGACGCATTCTTCGATTCCAATATTAGCTGATGCGTAGCGGAGACCAGCTAGATCCTCTTGTAGGACAAGGAAATCACTGAAAGATTTTGAACCTACGCATTCTTCGATTCCGATATTAGCTGATGCGTTGCGGAGACCAGCTAGATCCTCTTGTAGGACAAGGAAATCACTAAAAGATTTTGAACCGACGCATTCTTCGATTCCGATATTAGCTGATGCTGATGCGTAACGGAGACCAGCTAGATCCTCTTGTATGACATAGAAATCACTGAAAGATTCTAAACCGACGCATGCGCACATCGTATACGTAGCATTGACTCTTTTCTTAACTTCGTAAACAAGTTTTTTTGCCCTCTTTAAAACATCGGAAAAGAGCTGAGATAGCTCCCGCCTGTCAAAATATAAACTATCACAATTTATTATATAAAAAATTTGATTCAAGGAAATTTATCACGTGGATAGTAAGTAAACCTTTTGCAAAACCATTCTGTAACTTACGAAAGCAAGCGAGGTTTTAATAGCTCAACTCACTTTTCATCAATTGTCTCTTAAATGTAGATTGAGTATTTTTTGGAGTGAAGGGATAATGGGTTGTATTTGGGTGTTGAGAGGAGAAAGGAGTACCTGTGAGAGGCAAGTTGTTTTCCAGGCAATACACATAAGACCTCGCTGGGGTGATCGTTGCATTCAGAACAGGTTTAGATGGATAGAGACTTATAGGAGCTGGTCTTCTTTTTCGACTTACATATTCTTTGTCCCAGAGATCCATGGACCAAATTTAAGACCTTTTTTTCATCAATAATTTATGAATGTTTGGTAAACAAAAACGTCTGAGAAAATATGAAGAAAATGATCGAATAATGTTAAGTGTCATACATTTACCACATTTTCAGATTGATGAGTGCTTCTAGGAGGTGGCACGTCGTAAAATTTTTTTTTGTGAAAATGCTTGTGCAAAATTAATTGTAGTCTGTCACTTGACATATCGTTATATGTATTTAATAATAATAGGCATTGTAAATTTGCGCGTTTACAGATACTAATTCTTATCAAGAATTCGTTTTTGTCTACACCGATTACGCTTTAGTTTTTGCACCGATTTTTGTTTCTTTTTCAAGAAATATGGCATATGCATAAATATTTTTTTACGCAACAGAATGGAATGTATATTTTGTGCTAAGTGCGTGTCGAATTGTCTACTTAATTTACAAAAAGTAAACAATGTAGAACAGTTGCCGTTGGCGTTTTTTACTTACTTAATTTTTCCTAGTAATTGATAAATATAAATTTTTGTGGAAAATACTAAAAAACAACCTATAAGAATTGCGATGAAATTCTACTGGGATTTTCTCTTATTTCGAATGTATTTACGTTTTTACGAAATTTTGTTCTGTTTTTATCTAAAAAAAAAAGAAAGATATTTGTTAACAAGAATATTTTTAATTTTTTCTAAATTTAAACTGATTTGTATTTACTTATTGTTGTGGTGGTTTATTTTCGAAATATCTAAGCTATCCATTTTAGCCGTGATACAATCTTATCGCCTTAAGGAAAAGTGCTCGAAATTGTTTACGTGAAGAAGATACGGCACATTAAGTGTTAAAAATATTGTAAGGATAAAAGCTCTTTGACGTTTTCTTAGATAAATGAATCTTTGACTGACGGATATTTTACAAGAATAATTTACCATGTGTATAACCTTAATATATATATATATTAAGATAAAATATATATATATATANCCTACATATATATATATATATATATATATTTCTAAAAAATTATTTTTTTATTACTGCTTTGTGCGTGAAAATACGTTAAAAAATTACTTCGAAAAATTAGTTTATGTATAATTATTTACAAAAAACATTTCATAATTATTTTCTACTTTTTATTTTTGTTTTATTTGAATGATTGAGTTATCCTATGTCAGGGGTTGTTTTGGAACGTTGAGTCGAATGCAATTAAAAATTAATATGTTTCTCCAGAAAAAGTGCGTTTTTGCGTTAAATTAAGAGTATGCCGCCACTGTTCCAATTAATCGTTAAACATAATTTAAGAATTCTTTTGAGTTATTGCCGTAACACTTTACCAGTTCCCATAACAAATCAATGCCTTTGAGGATACCAAATTGTAGATTGGTTTTTCTCTGGTTCAGATCAAAATTATGATTTCTGGATGAATGGAGTATGAAAGGATCCTCCCTGTAAAAAGGTACTGTGACGTGTGTGTTTCTATATTTTTGGCAATAGATGGCGCCACTGAAAAATAAGAAACGCAACCCTCTGCCTTAAGTTTGCTTGGTTTCCCATTTTCCCATAGCAGGCTTGCTGCTATTGGCAAGTCGTATAAGAAACAACAACACTTTGCAAAATGAAAATCAGACCAACCGTTCAAATCTAAGCAATCCGTTTTTTCTTTCTTTTTTGCAGACTGAATTATTTTCAAAAAGTGCATTTATTAATAACAAACTCAGGAACTAACTCTCCCCCTGAAATTGGGGCAGGAATCAATTTTAAAATCTTAAATCTTATCCAGGAAAGCTCATTTTTTCATGTTTACTTTACTCCGGAGGTGAGAAGGAAATCTATTGTAGTTTGATGTAATGACATAAAATTTTCATCTTTTTCAAAGTATCAAGCATGTCTAATATTAACTTTGATGTTTGACCTATTCCAGTACCATTCCGAACATTTTATATTTTATTTCCGTTCTTCGATTACAGTGCTATCTTTAAACCTAAATGCAAAAACCAGTAATCAAATTAGGGTGCTTTTTTCTTGAAAACCTAAATATGCAGTTAAAAACGGTTTCTATTTTAAGTTGCCCCTCACCAGTTCTGAAATCATTGAATGCATCTTTTAAAAATAATTTTTGATATTTGATACGATGAATATTTCTCACACACTTGGCCGAATATTCTGTTCTGTATAACCCTTAAAAATTATGTCATGTGTAGAAATTCTATCATTAGATCAAAAGTTATTCTTGTCATTGTCATTTTTTTGGTAAGGAATTGCTGGAAAAATCGAAAAATACAAGTATTTTAAATTCAATTTCATTCAAAAATCAATAAAGGAAAAAAATATTTTTAGTAGATCTTTGCAGATCTGATTTTCTCCTTAAACACATAAATAGATCAGAATCATATACCAACTCTTTATTTGCTCCTTAAATTAGTTATATGAAACGATCCAACTTTCAGAGACATATATCTTCAACAATCAATCTCTTTCCTCTTCAATTTCTTCTCAACAAATCAAGAGAATAATCTCTTTCTTTTCTTCTTTTTTTTTTTACAGATAGATCTTCTTGGTCATCACATTTCGAACTTCGTGCTCCCAAAAGAAAAAGATCTACTTATGAAAAAAATGAGAAATTTAATATCCAAGTATAAAAATGGTAAGTTTTTTTTCCCCCAATATTAAATAGATGTCAAATAGAATTTTTTTATGATATTTTAAACTTTGTATTATTTCTGTTAAGAATGAATAAATTTCACTTTGAAATTCTCACTTTGAATTTTCAGTATATTTATATATGGTAATACTATATATTTATGCATATCTAAAAACTGGTATAGATTTAATACCCATTTTAGATTGATGGACTTATGAGAACTTAATGTTGCTCAAAATTTCATTTAATATCTCATTTTATCTTTCAAAAAAGATTTTAATACGTTGGTGGCGTGCACGCACTGGGTAAAAAAAATTCAGAAATATTTGTATTTTAAAAAAGTTAGTTCCTAATTTTAAATTCGTTTTTAATGTAATGTTAAGTTAAATAATTTAATTGTAACAATTTATTATTTCCTACAGAATGTACTTATTCGTACAATAAACAGAATGTGCTTATTCATAATATAATTTTTCATAAATATAATTATAATTTAAAATTTTAATGACTTAAATTCATTATTAAAATTTTTATATTGCAAATTTTGATTTCATTACAAAAATAATAGTAATAAGTTTAAAGATTTAATGTCCGTAGTCGTTGAATAAAGATGTCCTCCTTTGGCCTGGTGACCTTGTTCCCAGCTTTGCCTCCCACTTCATTCGAAGGCCACTGTAATTCATTCTTTGAAAACTATATTTTAAAAAACAAATCAAGATTTAATATTGACTTATTTTAATTCATTCTTTAGAAAAAGCTTTTAAGAATATATAAAAAAATGAAACACATTATAAATTCTAAATTATTAAATGGTATTAATTATAGCTCTGTTATTTGTTATTTAAATGTCCCAATTACTTTGACTTTTTAGGATCTTCAAATCCTCGTAATGTCGTTAGAGTACGTATGCAGCAACGACCATTACCTCGTAGCAACGAGATGAGGTACAGAAAAATGTCTTTCTCGCTCTCAATACATTCTGGCGACGAAATGCCTCAAAGTTCTGCACCACTGAAAAAAAGCTTAAAGATCGGTAAATTGTTTTTCCTCTACTTCTTTTCATTTCGTAGATTATTGTTATGTTTATTAAAGTATCTGTTGCCTTCTTCTGTCAATTACATTGTTCTAATATTTATTTTTTTATCGTATCCATGAACAATTAAATGGCCTCGTGTGCCTTCATCGTGTAACTGCATCCGCAAGCTCCAATACATCATTACTGTAGAGGATCTCACGAAGTTCTGAAGTCAGTGGCACCATACCCAGTTGTAAAACATATGGGGTAAGGGCTGGGCACTCGAGAATGTGATCCGGTGTAAGTTGGATATCGGTGCAGTTCTTGCAGGGAATATAAGTTCTTATTTTGTCGGGAAGAATTTTCATCCTTTTAAAGTGGTATGTTCTTAGTCTTGTAATTGTTGATGTTAAGATTCTGGAACAGTCAAAGTCAGTAATGAGGTGTTTCCTGAAGGAATGGGGCAGAAGTCTGTGTTTTGCAACTGCATTTGCAGATCAAAATTGCACTGTCCATGGAAAAAGAGGGTTGCCAGAGCCTCGAAAGGTTGGACTTCTACCTGTTGGTCCGCGGAAGGTATTTTATTTCCCTTCTACCACCCACTGGAGAACCAGTGTAGGCATTCCCCTATATTCTAATATTTATTAATATAATTTGAAAAATAAGAGAATACGTAAGCTGTTGTTTTTTGCTTTATTATAATGGTTTATAAAAGCGTACATTTTCTTGCGTAAAATATTCCATCTCAGCGTCAACTAATTAGGTTAATTTTTTCCCTCTAAACCTATTTATTTTTTTAAACTGTTTTATACTTTGCTTCATTGTTTACGGTATCAGTTTTTGTTTCACTGAGTTATGAGATGAATATATAAGATGAATTATAAGTATTAGATATTTTGTAAGAAGGTTTTGTTGCATTTATTTGTTTTATAGAGCTTTCATTATATTACATATATTTTATTTTATTTTTTATAACCGTCACTGAACAGCCGACCCAAATTTAGGTTTACCACTACTACATAGCCTTGTAATTTTACTACTTAGGTTCAACTCCATAGCCTTGTAATTTTGAACCTAATTCAGAAGACAAGGAAATTCCTGGATGTAGTGGGAGAAATTTGTCTTCGTGGTGGACTTTTTGATGGAACCAACCAACGTTTGCGTTACGTGGAGGGGAAGACCAAGAGAACCTCCCACGGTTAGCCTGGCGGCAGTGGGACTCTAACTCCTGATCCGTCTACCGCAGAGGATATTTCACGTCAGCACTGTGGTCTGTGCAAGCCGGATGCGGAATTCGTATCGACCTGCCATCGCTGGGATTCGAACCTGGTTCAACTCATTGGAAGGCGAACGCTCTATCCCCTGAGCCATCACATATAGTTATCGCTTGCCAAACCCTGGAAATTTTTGTCCAGTTCAATAAAAATCACTTCGGTAGTTTACTTTCCCTTAGTCTTGTTTACTATTTCAGTTTTTGTAACTTAATTTTGTCTACATTTTATTTGAAATATATTAGAGAGCATTTCAAAAATTGTTAAGCGTATCAATTCTTGAATTAAGTTAATCCCTTTAATGTACGAGAATGTAATAATCTAACATCGTTTACAAGTTGAAACAAATTGAATGCTCGAAAACGTATTTTCATTGTTTTTGAATTCCACTTGTCAATCTATGCATAAATAATAACTGTTATGAATAAATGACAATTCTGTTGGAATTATTCAAGCACATTTCTTCTGTTATTCATAGGACGACACAAAGATTTTGGAGAAAGTGCTATAATATTAATATTTGCTGAACCTGTGCAATTAGAGCCAGACATTGATGTGCAATACTTAGAACAAAGAGACTGTTACTTCACAATACATGGTACTCAAGGCGAAATTATTTTTGCTGATCACAGGTATTTATTTTACATTCATGAGATTTTTATTTAAAGCTTTATGCGTTTTCTTTACTGTGAGACTTATTTTCGTAATTGTTTTAAAACAGTGGTTTCCAACAGGCTGACCGGGGGCCGCATCCGGCCCGCGAAGCCTTTTTTTGTGGCCCGCGAACTGAAATATATTAGTTGTTATTTTTTTGCGGACAATTTTCGTAAAAAATCTATAAGGGTTTAAAATACTTTTCTCGTTAAAAAAAACCTAATTTCTTCCTTTCTGTGAAATTTATCATACCAACGGTGCAAAAAATTTATTTGTCAGGTTTTGCATCCAAGAAAATATTTATTTAAATACAAAAATAATCGTGTATGTTGCTCTTTTTTATTTCATTTTTTTGTATTTTGTAAATATAATTTAGCATGTGTGTATCAGAAATTTTCTCAAAGAAATTCTCCGATTTAACTTTTTGAAACCACTCATTTTAGACGAAAATATTTTACACACACATTTGTAAATTTAAAATGTGAATATCTATTCTCTGGTGTTTGCAGCAGACAAACCTCAATTTTGTCATTAAACATTTTGTGAGCTACTATGTAAGTTTTAATACCAACCATTTTAAAGTTTTATATCTTAACAATTAGATATCTGTTGCACATTAATTGTGTAATACATGGGTACACATTAAAGTTATTGTAGCCCGAATTTTTTAATATGCAACTAAATATGTTTAAAAATCTACTTCTTATTTTAATTTGTAATTCAATACTTTTGTTTTGTACAACTTGGTAAAAATCTGACAGTAATATTTAATGTTCCTTCAAACATATAAAAGAGTCATATATAAAATTTTGATGAAGTTGCGGCCCGCCATTTGATTTGTGTTTTTAATTGTGAACCCCGGCCTCATGTAAGTTGGAAGCCCTTGTTTTAAAACAATAAATTGAGACTTTTGGTTTTTAAACCGGAGCTGTTAACTGGTACCTTGTTCTCAGAATTAGCATCACACCAATAAGTTTATTCAAAATCACAGTAAGTCTATTAAAAAATAAATGAAGTTATTGCAGAAGTTTTCTTTGTCAACTTAGTTTATCTTAGTTTCGTAAAAATTTGGCCGTGACAGAGCACAGCTTTTTCAATGTCTACTGAAGTAAGCAGCACTTGCCTCCCTTTTCTAGTGAGTTTCGAAAATCTTTTTGAGACTTCCTCTAAATTCTAGAATTCTATTAAATCAAAATTAAACATTAATTTACAGATTCTTTGTATACAGCTAACTCGTACTTTAGGGATAAATCCTTCATACCTTGAATAAGTTTGAATACATAGTCGTTCTTAGTATTTAAGTTGATCATTCGTTCTGGATTAAAACCTCGAGCAGCTTTGATTAAAGTTTAATGCTTGCTGACAATGAATTTAAACGAAAACCATAAAGGCAAAATTTATCTGTTAAATGAAGACATTTTGCTGAAAATAAGGATTATGGTAGTATTTATATATTTTGTTATGACACATTTGTTTGCTATCTAACACAGCTGGTTTTAATTCCGGAAATCCAAGCGAAAACTTATAAGCAGTGCACAGCATTTAAAGCAGCCATTAAAGCAGTGGTATTCCAAATTTTATTGCAAAACTTAACAGTTTTATTTCCAACTACTGTAATAAAAAAAAATTAGCGGATATGAATCTCGATCTAAAGACTAAAATCTTTTCAGTTAACTGTTCATGATCTCGTCTTCATAGTTCTTTTTATATGTTTTCCGAAAAATGCGTGCCTATTTGTGAAAAAATTGAAACGCAAACTTCTCCAATTCAATTATTATTTTTTCGCGAGAACATTTTCTACGCAATTTTTAATTAGTTTTTTTTTACTAAAAGCATTTATAATTATTGAAGTAACTAAAAATCTGACTGCACGAGGCTTTGTTAATCATGTTGATGAAGTATATCTTCCCAACCAGGCAGTAAGTAAGAAGATCCTCCCAATTTGCTATTTCTCGATGCCTTTTTCAATTAACAACTTTAATTTATCTAATTGGAATCAATAAACTTGTTTGTTCTTTCGAATAACGCCATACAAAGACCTTTCAATGGCAAACATTAAAAATTCGTAAAAATTGTCTATTTTTCATTTGTACGCTTGATTTTTCTGTTTTATGAAAGTGTTGTTTATTCATATTGCTGCGATGTTTACCTTCCATCATAAGAAGTTTATAAATACGAAAACTTCTTTTTAAGCCTCTTTTCTTTATTCTTTTTTTGGAATAATTTGTCATCGTCTGGCAACTATTTTCAATTTTTCACAAATGAGAAGAAAAAAATTAATTGCATTGCGCATATGAAGTATATTTGTAAAAGATTCTTTTTTGGACAAACAAACTAAAATATTTACATTTACTGAAAGCAATATTTTCAATTGATGGTAACAATAATTTGAGGGATTTATGTATCTTATCAGCTGCCTCAGTTAGTCCTGGTCACACTTTTTTTTGAACAAGCCAGACACAGATTTAAAAAAAAACTAGTCGATTTCATTTATTAATAAAGATTAAAATAATGCAAGTTATTAAAACTCAATTAACAAGATATGAAACATGAAACCTATAGTGGATTCGGTTACCTGTTATGGCGACGTTACGCTCGATCTTTGGCTTTGAAAGTTTTTCGTTAACAAATTTGTTATTATTTTAATTTTACTGTTATTTGATGTATTTAATTATAAAAACGATAATGAATAGGCAATAAAAATTTTATTAGCAGTATTTGTCGAAGAAATCTCTTAATAGCTATGTATGATAGCAGTATTTAGCTATGCTTCCTCCCCCACTCTCAGATAAAGCTGCACAAAACCAAAGTTGCACAAATTATTGATCAACTTCTTTAAATATAGAAATGTAACTGTATTTTTACTTTGCGAAAATTTCTAGTCGGAACAACTTGGCAAGAAAACTAACGTTTTATCAAAAACATTTACAGAGCATACAATAGCGTAAACAACTTTATAACTCTATTTATTATAAATTTCAAAGTTTAATTATTTCTCAAAATATTTGGATATTTAACATGAGTTTTCCACGTAAAAGATATTTTCAATGATCAAGATAAATTTTAAAAGCAAGAAAAAATGATTGCATAGTAATAAATTAGAGATTTTTCCTGATTTAAAAAAATATTTTGTCGATAACTTCATTTTAAAATTATCAGGAAATGTTAGTTTCGCTTCTTGTGAATAAGTTTTGAATCTAACCATTCCGACATAGGTTAATTTTTATTCTTTATTCTTTATTCTGTTTTTTATTTTTTATTCTTGAATCTGGATTTTACGAAGAAATACTTTGGGTATCTTTCTTGTCAGTATAACGAATTAGTTTCAAAATATGTTCAAATTTAATATTAAATTCAAGATCTTTTTATATGAAGTCTTGAAAAAATATTATATATCAATGTCTTTTTTTTATTTATCTAGAATATCTATCATGACTGGTTATATGCCCCGAGATGTTTTGGGAAATTCAGCTTATCAGTATATTCATTGTTCAGATGTGCCAATAGCTCTCTTTGCCCAAAAAGCTAGTAAGTCATACTTTTCAAATTATTTTAATTAACAACGCATCTCTTATGTGTTCTTCGATCTAACATGTTTTGATATAAAATGTTTTTTTTTTTCATTAAACTAACACTGGATACGCGCTGTATTTCTATAAATATTTCATGTAGATTTTCTTTTTCATTTGTTAAAACTACAAGTTTGACATAATTTTCCTGCACTGAAGTGACGTCACAATTCCGATATTATTCTGAAATACATTAATCAGGAAAAAAATATTTAATTGTTTTCTTTCCTTAAATTTTTTCGAACCAATGAAATATTACCGCTATTATCTAATATTTATAATTCTCTTACGTGGCTCCCGAATTTTGGCTGCATTTCTTTTCCACCGGTGGCAACGTTTGCTTTGTTTTGTTTACGTTACTATTTCTCTTACACGGCGACGAGAAAAAGCCTCATTACAACTCCCAGAATGGCAACGCTAGAAAATCAACCAATGATTGCCGCTAAAAATGTCGCATGCCAAATCTAGAAGAGGTGGCTTAACATAGAGCGCTTTTAAAAACGGAAACTGAAATAACCAGAGAGCATCAGCTGCGGGCAGAAGTGAGTAGTCTTTGTCGATAGATCTCTATTTTAGTATTTTGTCGAAAGAGCTTTTTTCACGAATTTATATATAACGAATTTATTTGACGAGTTTTGGTTTATATCACGAATTATACTATAGCACATTTCTAATAGGTTTAACGAATTGCATGTCATTTAATTGAATCCAAATTTATTTTAATGACTTAGTGTTTACTAAAAAGATGTAATTTTTTCTTAAAAAAAACGTTTTTATATGGATTTGAATGATTGTTTTAAATTCTTAGAATTTTATGCATTTGCAATGTACCTAAGTTAGTAGCTAGCGAAGTGAGCTTGGTTTGCGAAGCGAACCATACAAGATTGCGTAGCAATTTTCGGGGGTTGGCGAGCGTTAGCGAGCAGGGGGCGCAGCCCACTAGTTACTTAATGTTCTTTTAGCTTTACTACTTATTAGCGCTCAATTTACTCAAATTCACTAAAGTGTCGCTTAGGCGGTTCGTCTACTAAGTTTTCATATTGTTATCAAGATTTTGGGGTCATAAATAAGGAAAGTGAAGACCATTCAATAATCTAACTACCACGTACCTAAAATTTGCTTTTATTTTGAACAAATTTATATCTTTCTCATTCACCTTTAATCTTTTATTATTTTAAAAATCACCTAATCATTCATATATGCTTTTTTTATTAACGTTGATCTACCTGTTGAAATAAGTATTATTTATATTACTTACAAGCATGATTTTGTTAGTTTTTCCTTTAAAAAAAGATATAATTGTACGGCCATTAATTTGGACAAAAGATAAGAATCCTGTTTATTGTCATGATTTTTTTTTCATAAATATTTAGTATGAAAATAAATTTGAAAACTAATATAAATCCACGAAAAACTCAATAATTTTTATTGAAAAGAACTGAACTATCGAATTGATTAACAAAAAATATACTCTTTGTTTAAAGCATTGTTTAGCTTGATAACTTGAAAGAAATGGTATTTTTTTAGATTACTTTTGATTTTAACAATTCAGAAAAAGTTAAAACAACTTTTTTCATCTCGAAATAATTCAGCGTGAAAATGTCAAGTATCCTAAAAAAATGTATTTATTATAAAAATAATGCGTCAAATCGAAGTTTATGGAAAAAAATTAAAAAATAAACGACTCAAAAATATATTCTAGAAAGTTTCGTTGTTTTTGCTTCAAGAACTATCTGTGTTTATAAATTCCATATCCAATTTCTTGGTAGTCGTAAATTCAAAATTTAGTCGGCTATTCAACGACAGTTATAAAAGAAAATGAAAATTTACAACAGCAATGAAGCGAAAATATTAATAATTCGCCATTTTAGAAATGAAATAAAGACTTTATTTTAGTCTTAGACTACATATATGGGTGATTCTTTTTAAACATGACAATTCGGACCAAAAGACTTCTTCAAATTTAAAGTCTCCAAAATAATCTAAAATTGTTTTTGTATACTTCGTTAGTTACATTTATTAATATGTTACAGACAGCAGTGTAGTTTATTGACATTTACTCGAGAAAAAAAAAATAAAATAGAAATCCACCAAATCTTGAATGCCAGGAAAATGACATATTAGCTTACAAGTTTAAAAAATAGTCGTTTTAAGTTAATAGTAAGTAACTCAACTTAAGCCTTTATGTTAGATGAACCATAAAATGCTTAAATTAATTCTTTTTATCCACTGTAGAGAGAATCAATTTTGTTGCTGATATGTACAGAATAAAATTGTGTATAATAATCAATCATTAAATAAATAAATAGCTTTGATTACATCCAACCAAATTACAATCATACATAAACTTGGTATTAGGTAAATATTTGCTTTTCCTCCTTGCAGTATTAGCAGTTAAAAAAAAATTTTGGTAACACTTCAATGTCCTGGAATTCATAAGTCAGGAAAATGAGAGCCAGGATAATGACAAATTCGCCATTTTATAGCATATAACTTTAATTTAATATTTTGTCCTAAGACGTTTACATTCTGTAGAAAACAACAGTATTTCTTAAAATAACTCAGATAAATCTATGTAGTTTTTGTTATTAATGATTTCAAGAAGCCAGGAAAATGACAACACAAAAACCTACTCATCTTGAAGACTTTTTTGAAATAGATTTTGAACCAGAAAATTGGTTCTTTATTCATGCAACAAGACATATAGGAGGGTATCTGATCAATCTATTAACATAAGATATTGATTGCTGGCTCTATCTATTTTGGTTATAAACCACTAAATAAAACAGGGTTGCCACTCCGCATGGAGAACAGGGTAAATCTGGAAAATACAGGGAATTTAAAAATTACCTAAAATAACAGGGAAAATGCAGGGAATTTTGATTTTTTCTTTACAAACTGGGAAAATACAGGGAATTTTGTTTCGTATTTTTGTCTTTTAAAAAATGGGCACCACTCAAAAGCGTAATTTATGGGATATTTAAGGAAGATAGTTCAACTATACTAAACTATTTCATTTGCTATAGCATTATTTATGTATGTCGTGCTTTTTTCCAGAAATTAAAACTAATAAATATAGTTAGTCTAATATGGCTCCTTGTATAATATCTACAGGGAAAACACAGGGAATTTTTTTTTCAAGATTTTAGTGGCAACCCTGTAAAAGTAGCCAGGAAAATGACAGATTTTCTTGGGACCAACAAATTATTGACAGAAAAAATTATTTTAAACGAAGTTTTTGTAATTAAAACCCTCTATACATCGGTTGAGATTAAAAAAAATTAGATATTGAAAAATTTATGGGAAGTTTTGAAGCTAGTTATTATTGGAAACATTGTTTTGGACATTCCAGGAAAATGACATTTTGAAGTTCAATTAAACTTTTTAACTATACAAAACAGTCAATGCTAGTACAAAGTCATTTTAAAATGCTAACAGCAGTGCAATTTATTAATTTTTTTTAAAAAAAAAGTTCTTTTAGTGTTATAGTATTAGATCTTGGAGCAAGGGACAGTGAATTGTCACATTTCGTGAGAATCGCCCATATATGGATATTTATGTAGATTCAGAAATCTTTTTCTCGATTATGACTATCTGTTCTGGGCCACAAGCAAATTTCTTCATAGGAAGAGAAAAATTTATCTTTTGTAGAATTTTTTTGGTGTCAACAATTTTCTTGTGGTTTATGGCAACCTTTCCAAAATATGCTTTCTTAACTGTTAGTGGGGCGACTTTTATGGCGCTTTCTTTGTACAGAGTAAATATTAATTTGCATAAACCACCGATGAAAACATGTACTTCAACTTACAAAGTGAAGAGCAAAACAATCAGTAAAACTGCTATATTGTGATCCCTGAAATTGTTTCTTGTTTCTTGCTTTTCTTTAGGAGAATTTTGGTAACATATTTTTTTCATTTAATGCTCCGGCTACCGTGTAGTTATATATTGTTACGAATTAATTCTTTTTGGCGGCGTCAATTCGTCGCCAATCAAATTATATTTTATTTCAGTTGTTCTCGATGCACTCATGCCTGAAGGAGCATTTCTTGAAAGCTCCTATTTCTTATATTTTTTGTTTTGTTTCAGTCTAATTATTATTTGTTTCATTGTTAAGTTTATTAATAAATATAAAAGCACATATTAATTGTTTTCTTACTGACCAGGGCATCAAATGGTAGAGATACACGCATATCCCGAAACTCGAAATAGATTTTCTATCATATATATTCTACTTTCTATTATGCAATTCTTACCTGCCGTTTTCTCCTCTACTTCTACGTTTTTCCCTTCCTTGTTATGAATTACAAGCCCCTTAACTCCTGTTATATTTGTTTTATGTGGCTCGTAGTTTCTTTGATCCATCTTTCTTCTCCTGCATACAAAATCTAAGGAACTGCCCTCTGAAACCACACATTGGGTGGTAAAAAGCATTCGCAAAATAGCAAACCTAAACTAAATAATTAATTGTTAAGTTATGCGTACAATTTCTTAAGCAACTGCAGCAGTCAATTCGTAGTTTATTCCGAGAACAGGTCAATTATATCCCCCCAGGTCCGGGCTATCTCCAGGACATGGAATGTTTTCGAACTATATTGAGATTTTACTCCACAAAACATTCTGTACCAAGTAGGAGGCCATGAATTTATGGATCTTTGCCAACCAAACTTAAAGCAAAAATCTTAATTTTGTAAAAAAATGTGGAGATGTCTGATTTACGGACTCATCGATTCAATTAATTTATATAAGAATTGCGGAAAATGCGATATAGTTCAGGAGTATATATCACGATGCGGTTTTATAATTTTTGTTTTACAGTGCACGAAATAAAAAACGAAACATAGTATAACTTTTTAACAAATTTGTATTTTTACGTACCCAAGATGCCTCAAGAATTAACGTTAAGTATGCTGTTTAACTTATTTACCAGATTGCTTTCTCCCCTATATTTTCAGAGTCAAA